TACCCCCCCTTCCTCCAAACTAGACTTTTTACACCCTCTTTTGATACAAATAAAAAAGGACTGTTTTAACTTTTTAATTCCTGTGTGTTGGCATATTTGGGTGGGTGTGGTATACTCCTCTGAGTAGCATTTAGGACAGAACCGATACAGGCAGTTCCCGCCTGTTACAAGTGGCGTTGCTGGCAGGATTGCTACTCAGAGTTTGAGCGACCAAAACCCCTCAATATGTCCGACGAGGCACCAGTAGCACGCCCCCAAGTGATGCCTGTTTTCATGGGGGCCCCGTGGGCCCAGGGGTTTGGAGGACCAGGGTCTGAGCTCAGCCTACAGGAGTGGAAAAACCAAACAAATTATCTGGCTGGCTTGCAGGGACTGAGTGAGACACAGAGACTGCAGTTTGTTCTTGGGTCACTAGAGGGTGAAGCAAAGAGGGAGGTCCAGGCTGCACCAGATGATAAGCGCAATACTCCCACTGCTGTTTTTGAGTTTTTGGCTGAGCTTTACGGAGATAACACCCCAACCGCCTTTTTGAGGGCGCAGTACTTTAACTGTAGGCAGGGGCCAAAGCAATCTCTCCGTTCCTTCTCATTGCAGATACGAGAGCTGTTCCTCCGACTGAAGGGGAGAGAGGACCATGGTCTGGGTGATGGAGACACATTATTGCGGGACCAGTTGGGGCTCTGTGATGGCCCAATCTGCCAGGGCCTGAAGCTACAGCTTCGCCAAAACCCAGACTTGACCTTCACGGACATCCGGAAGGAAGCCTTGGCCTTGGAGCTGGACCAGCTGGAGATGGCCGAGCAGCCCACATGTATGGCCACGAGCAGTGCCAGTGCCCCCACCCCTCCACTTGCAGTCCATTGGAAACAGGAACTCCGTGCCGAGATAATGAAAGACGTGCAAGAGCAGATGACTGAGTTTTCCAAGACTCTCTTGGAAGAACTTCGCCGAAGCCGACCGCCTGGTCCCCCTGTTCCACACGAGAGATCCTACTCAGAAGGTACAAGAGAGCAGGGGCGACCCCCAGGCCGACCGCCTGGTCCCCCTGTTCCAGTGGGATGACCAGGGCAGGCCTATTTGCAATCGGTGTGGTGTAGCAGGGCACATTAGCAGGCAGTGTACACCTCAATACACCTCTCAAGAGGGTTTTTAGCTTCGCCAGTCACTGTGGGTCAAGTGGCCGGGACCCCCCCTTTCTGACCCCTCACCTTCTCCCAGAGACATTCTAGTTGGCCAGTGCCCTATTGTGGAGGTACATGTCAATGGAAAGAAGGTCAGATTCCTAGTTGATACTGGTTCTCAAGTTACTCTGTTTTCACAAGGCTTGTGTAATGAACTTTTTGGTGTCCAACAATTGCAGCGGTTAGAGGCACCGTGGCTGACCTTGCGGGGTGCAAATGGACTGGACATCCCATACATTGGCTATGTAGTGGCAGACTTCCAGGTGCAGGGTGTCCTGGTGCCAGAGAGTGGGGTTGTTATCGTCAAAGACCACTGCGCCTGGGTGCCCATCCAGACCTGCTAGGCATGAATGTCATCTCCGCCTGCTGGGAGGCGCTGCTTGAAAACCAAAAGGCCCCAACCATGCAGACCACTGCAAGCCGAGAATGGGAGCAGATCATTGCAGACTGCCAGAGGATTGAAGCTGCCCAGTTTTCAGAAATACAAGAGGATACTGCCCGGGTTGCCTGCCGCTATGCCCTCACCATCCCCGCCCAGAGTGAAGCAGTTGTTTGGGCAAAGGTGCCTGCCCGGCCTTATGGACCAAATAACTGGGTGGTGGTGGAGTCACACAACGAGTGCCAGGGAATTGAGGTGGCCCGAGCCCTCGCCACCGTGCACAGGGGCCGTGTGCCTGTGAGGGTCCGCAACACCAAACCCTACCCCGTCAACCTTCACCGTCACCAACGTCTGGCCCTTGTCACGGCTGTAGGACCCCAGCAACTGCAAGGAAACAGTGACATCTGCTTCAACCAAGTAAGTCCAGGGGTGGTTGAGGTGGGCATTATGCAGGTTGACCAAGGAGATTGTAAAACAAATGAGGCAATGCTTGAACACCTCTGCTGTGAGTCCCTACGGGGGGATGGCTTGGAACAGAACCAGCAACGGCAGCTCCAATGTTTCCTGGC